AAATTCAATAGAAATTTGTACACAAGCATTGAGAAATTAAATTAAGTTAGCTCTAACTATGCCTAGTTGGCAAAATGAAATAATATAAAATTAAAAACTTAAATATAAACTAAAATATAACATAAGACAACAGCTAGCACAATGCAGTTAATTGTCCAATGCATCATATAACTGGTCTTCAGTCTAGCCTGTTAAAAATGTATGCCTCCACGATACCACCTCACACCAGTGAGAATGGCACATATAAAAAAACAACTAGCAACAACAAATATCGATGAGCGTGTTGAGAAAAAGGAACTCTCTTGCACTGCTGATGGGAATGCAAACTAGTACAACCATGATGGAAAACTGTAGGTTTCTCAAACTGCTAAAAATGGAGCATCCAATGATCCAGCAATCCCACTCCTAGGTATCTACCTAAAAGACACAAAAATACTGATTCAAAAAGACACCTACACCCCGTATTTATTGCTTTATTTACAACTGCAAAGACATGGAATCAACCCAAATGCCCAAAAGTAGATGACTGGATTGAAACCGTGGTACATATACACAATGCAATATTACTGAGCAATCAAAAAGATAAACACATGCCTTTTGCAGCAACATGAATGGAGCTGGAAGGGATCATGCTTAGTGAAATAAGAAAGAAAAATACTGGATGGTTTCACTCATAGCTGAAGCATACAGGACCGGGGTAGGGGGAGATACTAATAATGAACAGAGACATTTTACAGGAGTGGAGTGGGTAATGGGATCAAAGGGGGGAGGGAGTGGGATGCATAGGATTACGGTGATGGCAAATGGGTGAATTGTGAAGCTCGCGGGGATTACAACTGAGATGGGAAAAGGCACAAAATGATGTAAAAAAGTATGCCTCCACAATAGAAAACATGCTTTTGGAGCACTAGTGTACAAACTTTAAACACTAATGAAACACGAGGAAGAACACATAGCATCCACAAATGAAAGAGATTCTTCTCCAGGTTACTGAATAATCATGTATCTTCACTTTACTTTCTTCTGTGTGCACAATAGCTATGAATTCATCAGAGCACTCAGGTTATTCCTTCAACACAGGATATACTAACAAGCTTGAATTTCTATTAGAATACAGAAATTTTCAATCTATAAACATTTTGGTATCAAAAATATATTTAAAAAGAGGGAAGAAGTTATATGAGCAATTCTAACTCCAGGAACACAAAACTATTTTAAAAGTAAAGCAATGATTTTGCCAACTTTTAACCTAGCAATAGGATTAGTCTTAAAGTCTCTGTAGCTATAATTTTTTTTTAAGATTTATTTATGCATATAGAACTGGGGTACAGGCCAAAGACGGGGGCGTTGAGAGGATTCACCAGAGACAGAGTGGGCAGCAGAACAGGCAGACTGACAAAGTACAGTCCTTAGGGGAGCAGTGGGCAGGTCAGGCGAGGTCTGCCGCGCCATGTGGGTCACCTCAAACCAGCACTGAAGTGGCTGCTGCTGGCTTGCAGTGCTGCACTTTAAACCGCACACCACCAGGAAGGGCCTGTAGCTATAATTTCTAAACGATATTTGCATTTTTGTTGAAGTCTTATTCATAAAAATATTGTCAATTTTGAAGTACATAATTTAATATGCAATGTCAACCTTAAGATTTCTCTTTTCAATTGAGTTTTATTTCCACATATTAGTTTCATACTAAATTAAATTTACTAATTTCTGTTTCTGGCAGTATTGGGATTAGGATGGCTAACTGTCCCAATTTTCATGGAAATGAGTATCTTCACCACGAAGCTGAAATATTTGAGCAAACTGAGTCAAGTATTCAGCCTAGTTGGAATGTAATGTATAATATACAAAATGGAGAAACCATTTATATGAAAATGGATAAGATCTGCTAAGGCAATAAGAAAAGGACACCTTTTCTTACTTTAAGAGGGAGCACCTTAAAGACTTAAGCTAGCTTATTTTGCAGGTCATTTTAAGCTGAAGGCATCTCCCAACTCAAAGCAATTCTATAAAAGAACTAGTGAAAGGACTCATTCTACCTGATTTCTAGCCATAACAGTAAATACTATGTTATTGGTGAAGGGATTGAAACAAATCACTGTAATAGAGAACTTAGACATAGCGACACAAGTATGACAACAAAACTGTGACAAACAAAAGAAATCTATGCAGAACATAGTCCTTTCAAAAAAGGGTGCTGATACAAATATTCAAACATAAAAAATAGTAATCTTGATCTAAATCTCATTCTTTATACAAAAAATTAACCTAAATAGATCAAATTTAAACATAAAACTTGTTTAAAAATCTTTAGGACATAGGGCTCGGAAAAGATAAATCATAATACCTAAACATGATTCATTTAAAAGTCAGCAGTAAACTGGACTTCAACAAAATTAAAAATGGCTTATCTGCCAAAAACCCTGTTATGAAACTAAAAGATAAGCTATAGTCTACAAGACAGTATCTGTAAACCACATATTTAACTAAGAATCCATACCAAGAATAAACTCTCAAATTCAACATTAGGAAAACAATCCAAACAGAAAATGAGCAAAAGAAATGAAAGGATATTTTATCAAAGAGGAAAATGGAAGATAATTACACATAAAAAAGTGCAGTATTAACCATTAGGGAGATGCAAATTAAAACCATAACATACATTTTTAAAATTTTAAAAATGTCATTATGTTCATGAAAATGTGATGGGACAGGATCTCTTGTATACTGTTAATGGAAACGGAATATGGTATGACTGGAAAATGGTCATTTCTAGTTTCAAAACCAAGCAGATACTTACCATTTGATCCAGCAATCACATTCCCATGCAATTATTCAAAGAAATGAAAATTTCTCTGTATATAAAAATCTGTACACAATTGTTCACAGTAACTTTATTGGTAATAACCAAAAATTATCTAATATGCACCTCAGTAGATGAGAAGTTTTATAAGCTGTAGTACATACATGCCATGGAATATAACTCAGTAATAAAAAGGAACAAATTGATAAAACAACTTGGATGAACTTCAATGAAGTTGTGCTGTGTAGGAAAAGCAAATGACCCAAAGTTATACATTATATGAATATGATTCCATCAAAATGTCAAAATTATAGAGACGGAAAAGAGATTAGTGGTTCCAAGGCTTAAGAATGGTAGTGAGTTGCAGAGAAGAGGACGGTGGTAGAGGGCTGAATGTATTTTTACAAAAGGGCATAAGGATGGTCGTGAGTTGTAGGAGAAAGGGATAGTGGTAAGGGGCTGGATATAATTTATAAAAGGACAGCACTACAGATCTTTGCGGCAATGAAATAGGTCTTCATATTGACTGTAGTTGTAGTTAAAGTAATCTATGCATGATAAAACAGTACAGAATTACACTCAGTGTACCTATGCCTATAATATTGATTTTGATATTGTACTCATGACAGCATATTCATTTAAGATGTAACCATTGAGGGAAAGCGAGACGCAGATCATGGGGGTCTCTCTGTACTATCTTTGCAACTTCATGTTGTAGCCTATAACTATTTCAAAATAAAAAGTTAATAATACTATTGAGTGATATACAATAAAGTTCCAAAGAATTTCTTAGTGGGAGGAAATCCCTATTATTAATCTATTAAATCTATGGAACAGAACAAAGTAAGTCATTCTGTAATTTTTTTTTCACTTGTGTAGGTCTTGAAAATAATTTCCTGATATTTACAATTAAGAAATCATATCACTATATAGTATGGCATAAGGTAAAAGAAGACTGCTCTACATATAGCAAAACTATTAAAGAGCTTAAAAATATTTCAAGTGTACCTAAATTGACTGTATATTGCCTATTTTAAGAGGAAATTAATTCTGTAGTTAATTATGGCTAAAACTAAATGCTTAAAGTATTAATTGTATTACTTCGTATAAAATATTAATTTACTCTAATTCAATTATAAGATTTCATTTCTAATATGTAAAATATTTGCAACAGAAACAAAGATTTAAAATGAACTGAAAGCCACTTAAAATGAATGAAATGTAATTACTAAAACAAGTTATATAGACCTCAGTGTTTACTTAATATTTCAATACCAGTAAAAAAATATATACATCTCTCAACTAGTCAATATTTTAATAAGCATTAGTTGATCCACAAAGTATTTGTACAGCACTACTAAATAAAATAATACATCATTTATTTTTCAAAAATGTGCTGACTTCTAACCTCTGCTCTTCTTTAGAATCACCTGTGAGAAGAAAAAAATGAAGAATCGCATTATACCTACAGCAAACAAAGCAATTCCAAAACAAAAAATTGAATAATACGATGTTTAAAACTCTAAATTTATAAAACTCAGTTTGGAAGATCATCAGGGATTCTCTTGATTTGTAAACAGTTTTAGACTCCTTTAAAATAGCCTACAGTTCTTACAATGTATTTGCAGTTGTTGAAGTTAATTTCTTTAACTCAAAAGTATCCAGAATAGTTACCAACTTAAAAGTTTGAATTTAGTAATTCAGGAAGTCAAAGAATATCCGCAAATTTGAAACTCCTATCATAAAACAAGCATTTAACTATATATATGTAAACAAACTATAAAAGAATATAAAACCAATGCAACACCAAACTTTTAACGATGAATTACATCAATTTAGAACACGGTCATTCTTTTAAAAAAAAAAATTTATTTTTGTGTCCAAGACGGAGTACACGCCTGAGGTGCAGAAAGTAAAAGTGGATAATGGTATGGCTGATCGTCCTGGCCTGGGACGGAACCCATGCTGCAGTGGCTGCGGATAACTTCAAAGTGCTGCGGGGTTTTTTTTTTTTTTTTTTTTTTTTAAAGATTTATTTATTTGTGCATACAGAACTGGGTTACAGGCCAGAGATGCAGGAGCGGTGAGAGGATTCACCAGAGACAGAGTGGGGAACAGAACAGGCAGATCGACGAAGTACACTGCTGAGAGGAGCAACGGGCGGGTCAGGAGAGGTCTGCCACACCATGTGGTCACCTCCGGGGCAGGCGGGAATCGAACTCATGCAGAAGCGGCTTTAGATTCTCAATGCTGTGCTTTAACCCACTGGAGGGCCAAAGTGCTGCGTTTTTAAGCCGTTGCATCCCCAGACAGGTTCACTACAAAAAAATTTTAAGAACTCATCTATTTTTAGGTACATACACTCACAATTTGTTAATAAAAATAAACAAAACCTAAATTAAAAATGTACACCTATCTTCTAATCCTTAAGATTTGTTTCACCTGCAGAAGATCACTTATATTGATTTTTAACAGCTAGAAATTTATTGTAATGTTTATAACTGTAAAAGACTTTAAAGCCTCTACAAATGACAGGGCAAGCACATTAATAGGCTTCCAAACTGTACCCTAAGCCAATAATTCTCAGTTGTACATCATGTTAGTGTGGGTACTGCAAAAGAAAAGTATTATGCACTCACACAGATGTACAAAATGCTTAGTATATTATGTTCTCAAAATGACAAATGCCATGTTAAACAGAGTTCAACAAATTTATCTACTACTGTATCATTCATCTTTTCATTTTACTTAATTATAATTATGTATAGATATCAGAGTTGTGGGAAGATGAATAAAAGGTACAAGGAACTCCACTATTTTTGTACCTTCTATGATTTTATAATTATTTCAAAATTTAAAAAATACATATTTAAAAAGTCTATAAAAGGCAACTGTCAGAACTAAGTCTTTCTCCCACATCATTCACCAGTCTATGAAGATTGCATATTCACAGAAACAAGCTCTCTCCATATAACATTGTGACTGCTCAAAGAGCTACAATGTTATTATCTAAACTTATCTGACCAGAGAAGATTTTCATGGCCAGGCATCTACTAACAAAAATTAAAGTCATAATCTCCAACATACATGGAAGCACCCAGTCCTGAGCATCATACTCTTACATTATATGGAAATAGCAGTGACTGCTTATGAAAGATTTGATTCATAAGTCACTCAAATCTCAAAACAAAGTCAAAAACCATATTGCAAAAAAAATTAAACTGCTCAAGAAAATATTTAAACTATACACTGCCTACTCCCAATCAAAGATTTAACAGACATTTCATTTCCTCCTGAATTAAATGGAATAAAGCAGAAGCCATGCGTCTTTCCATCATCGAGAGAAACAAACCCTAATTCCTTAATTAAAATCCACTAAAATGAAAAACCACATACAGATGTAAATGCTTAAACGAACCTGAATAAGAAATCTAGATAAATTAGGGAGAGATAATGAGCCAGGTAATGTTTCTGAAGTCAATTCTACTCTGAAAAGAAATTCAGATCTTACCTTTGCTGCTGCCAGTACATGTTCCTTTTTAATGACTCCATTTTTATTCTCACAAGCCTTTATTCTGGACTCTTCTGCTAATCGATGAACAAACAATAAACAGTTCAGATGTACCTTTAAAATAATATTAAAAATTATTTAAAATAAAAAATGCCTAGAAATGACTTTTAAAAAGGGAAGATCTCCAAATTTTAATGTTGTGCTGTTTACTACTATGATTAAGTCAATTAATTGTTATTTAAGATTACAGAATTCAGTTTAATATAGGTCCAGCTTAGATTCCATACAAAGGAGACGTGATTCTTGCAATACATGAAGTAAGGCTATGTAAGGCTGACAAAAGGCCATAGACAGTAACATCGTAAAGCATCACTGTAACAAAACTTACACAGCAGTCTATTAAGTAACAAATATTTCTGCTTCCAATCCCAACCAAATTTTAAAATTTATTATCCAATTAAATTTCCCAAAAATTTAAAGCCAAAATAACTATATTTATAGCTGAGAATCTTTATTCTATAATCCAAGGCCTAAAAATTTTTTAATCAGATATTTAATTTGAATTATTTATTCAAGTCATGTGAACTGAATTATTTTTAAAAGATTGTATTTATTTTTGCATAGGAAAAATGGGCTGTAGGCCAGAAGTGCTGGGGTCTGAGGGATTGCACAGGTGAGAAGATTAATCAGAGACAGCAGAGTGTTAGCAGAACAGGCAGATTTACTGAAATACACTGTTACGTGTAGAAATGGGCAAGACAGGAGAGGTCTGCTGTACAATGTGGGTTAGCTCCCTGGCTGGGGATGGAACTCAGGCCTTGGTGGTGACAGCCCCAGAAAGGTCCTGTGAATTGAAATTTAAAGTTTATTAAATTGAAAAGTGTATGTGCAAAGGTTAACTTACTTACTATCCAACACCAAAATAATTATATCTAGTAACCTGCCTGTGACTTTGAAGGTGTTTCTCTTCACCTACCTTCTCCCTTTGCGAAGGAGCAGAGGGAGCTCTCCAACACTGCCCACCTGCATGTGTATACAAGACTCTTGGCAAACTTGTCCCTTGTAGGGGCAGCTCTTTCTGCCCACTTGTGTCTGTGTAAGCTTCCTTGACTTCCCTTCCCTTTTTATAATAAACTTGCCCTTTTGAATATAAAAAAATTATAATTGTACCTACTATTAGTCATCTACAAAGCCTTTTTAAAGAATTTAAAAAGGGTAACATAAGACAGTACAAAATTCAAAAGTCCACAAGGACTATAGATATGTAAGATGTAAGCACTGCAGGTAAAAGGCACATGGGAATTCTCTACTGTTTGACACTTCTTGAAAAGTGATAATCATTTCAAAATAAAAATACAAAGCAAAAAAATCTAGAAAAAGAAAATACTGTCAAAAGTCTGTCTTCCACACTGTTCTTCAAAAACTACAATTGACAGATTCTTCCATATTCTTACAGAAAAACCTTTACATATGAGCAAAATCTAGGTATTATTATTTTACCTTGTTATTGCACAGATCTGAGTATGTATATTTTGCTTACTAATTACTTGAAATTGACTATCCAAACCAAAAAATGTTAGTCAATATACACGCACAAAGTCCAACCAAGACAGAATGCAAACAGAGCATTAGTCCCATCAATTCTCTCTCCAGGGTCACATCTGGTGTTTTATCTTTTTGGTAGCATCTTCCCTATCCTTGGTTTCTGATGGGTTCCTTGGGGGACTACCAATTTAAGTCTGATTAGTGTCTTTAACATATCATGTCTTTCTTTGGTAATTTATATCATAGTATATGTTCTTACAGCGAGCATTAATACTAAATAATATTCATTGTATTACATACTACATACATAGTGGTATTACATTACCACTCGCCCATGGGTCACTGCAGTGTGTTGACTTTAGTTGTTCAAATTGTGCAAAATTCTTTAGTAGATTGTTACAGGTGTCTAAGAATGTCTTCATGATATTTAAGGAAAACGAAAGTTTGGGAATTTAAATTTAGTAAAATAAAGAACCTATAGAAGGAGATAGTCTTTCGTTATTTCTTTGATGCACTGTTCCTTCTTTAATTCTCACAAAACCACTGAGACAAAGCACCAATGCTATTGTATACATTATGCGTGTCATTCATTTTTTTTAAGTTTCCTATGATATCCCATTTCCCTTTACAAAAAAAAAAAACAAAACACACACACACACAAAAACATGTCATGGCAGGAGTTCCTCTGTTCACCTACATTTCTACTTCTAAAGATAAATATCTTCCAGATGTGCTCAGAATAAATTCCAAATTCCTTACTATTTACTACCACCTGACTAGGCTTTTCCAGTTTCATCTTTCATTTTTCTGATTCCAGTCCTACACTAAGCCTTTTGACTTCAGTGCTCAAATATAATCTTGCCAGAGGCATTTTGATGACTTGTAAACCTTTCTGAGAAGCCCAAATTCCCTAAATCACATAAGGGTATGTGATCTAAGACTAAGAATTTCCTTCCTATCACTGCATAGACTACATATATTATGCTGTAATTTTCACCTGTCTTCCCCAATGTCACAAAAGGGCAAGAAATATGTCTATCACCCCCAACTTTGTACCCTATTTACCATTAATCCATGGCCCAATACGTAGTAGACAATAATTATTATTGGATGAACAAAAGATCCCTCCAAATTTTCCTAGATTAGGGGAAATTTCTTTTTAATCAATACCATACAAATCATACATTTTGAGGCATGGTTCATGCTATAAACCTACATGAAATGCCCTCTCCTCTTCATGGACATGAGCCATAGATGGAGATAAATTATTTTTTTTTTTATGTCACTGATTTTCTGTAAGCAACCTATTCCTCTATTGTGAAACAGTGGAATGCTGTCCCTCAAATATACTGTTTTAAATGAAAATGATCAAAATGTAAAAAAAACAAGGTATTTCGGTAGACATTAACACTTGAATAAAGAAAGTCATTCCATCAACAATTTACTTTGGGGGAAAAGTGAGCATGCTTGAAATGTAAATCAAAAGATCATTTTAATACAAAAAATCTATTGACAGCCTCAGGTGGGCCATCCTGACTACCTCCTTCCTTGTCTTGCAATTTTAAGTTTTATATAAACCATAAGCACCCAAATATCTGCAGAGTTCTTCAATGATAAATCTACAAACTAACTTTGCTACAAGAGAGATAAACAATTTATTAAGTCTAACAAATGCACGCACTCGTTCTGGCCCCAGATTAGCATTTTAGTGGTTTAGCTTGGCAACTGAAATAATAATAGGTGTTGTATTATTTGTCCAAGAAAACAAGTCAGTGTTTAGAGCATCTCTCAACACTTTGTGAACTAGAGAAAACCGTGCAATATATTTAACAACGGAGAAAAAAAGAGAGAGGAAAGCAAAAGAGAGGCACTTAAAAGGCATGTTAATTAATGTCTTTTACAATGATTAAGTAAAATTGACCCCATCTGAATTCCCAAATCTATTAAGAATGTTTTTCACACCACTAGTACCAGACAGTGCTTCGGAAGCGAAAGGGGATTTCTTTCCCCTCCCTGTCCCACTCCCAACTCCAGAAGGAACAGAATCTCACCAGTAAGTCGCCACCAGTCTGCAGACGAAGGTGTGGCTTCTGTCGTTTGAAAACTTTCTTTAGAAAGCTACGAGGAGCTTTCCGCTTTATCTGCTTCTTCTGGGAGACTGTGGTCGAAGGCGCCATTTCTTCCTCAGCTACCAGCCGCTTCAGTTCCAAAATTCCCAACCTCGCACACTGACCCTCTGGCCCGGCAACTGCCAAAGCAAATCTGCAACTCTCAACATCCGGGCGCCAATTTTTGAATTCCCCGCCAGAAGAGCGCCCGGCGCTCCGCAGTGACGTCACACAGCCCAAGTCCCGCCCCAAAGAAACAAACAGACTGTTTGAAGAGCGGGGTCAGAGAATCCCTGGCGTCATTCAAAAGCCGAGACTTCCTCTGTTCGGCCCCGTAGCATACCGCTTCTATGGAAGCATTTCTCAATGGTTCCAGAATGTTGGGAAATTGTGGAGAGTACTGTTATGTCAAAACAGGTACACTTAAATTCTCCAAGCTCTCACTCTCTACCGAGTCTAATACATATCGACTAAAGAAGAGATGAAAAGAATAAGGTGTGTGATGTTATATCAGGGTTCAAAGCCTTGCCAACAAGACTAATTTTTCCGATATTAACAGCTAACACTTTCATTTTACAGTTTCATTTGATCACTTGAAGTCTTTTTGTTAGGGGGAAAAGATATCCTAAAGGAACTCTCCTTTTCCCCTAACATTTCCATGATTCTACTTGGCCTTTACAAATGCTTCTCCCTTTAATTTTGTTTCCTCCATTTAACCATGTAATAAATTCAGGTGCATCTTGAATGCTACCCATTTATACTTTTGCTACTTCTCCAGCAATTAACTTTTCTGTCATACAAGTAGTTCTCAAATTTCATCGTGTGTCTGAAGAAGTACCATCAACCCCCCCACACACACACACCCACACCCGCAGCCTTTTGAATGCATTAGGTCTGATGGTGATGTGAGAATTTGCTTTTCCAGCAAATAAACAAATGCTAGGTTGAGGAACACTTTCAGTGTGAAAAATACATGCCTTTCGTATTCTTTCTCCCTGTAATAATTTGTGATTTCAATAATGACAAAAATGATGCCTCCTCTTTCATTTCCAAGACTTCTGTCTGCTAAATAATAATCTCATGCATTGAGAGCCATCCACACTATGGTCATAAACTAAGCTTTGTTATTACCGAATACCATATGCTTCTAGAGTCTCAATTTGCTCATCTTACTGTTCAATCTCATCTTTTACATTTTGAACTCATTCCCTTCAATAATCCACTCCAATGATTCTTAGATGCCAGATGTCACTGTCCTTTCTTTTTGCCCCTATTTCCCCTCTCCTCTTATTCTCCAGCCTATGATCCACTATGCATCATCATAATATTTCTTTACCTTTATCCTCAACTTAAGCTGTTCCCTTTTCTTTTTCACCTCACACTCACCTGAGAAAGCATGCTTAAATCTGTGCATTGATAGTAGCTAAAGGAAAGCACACTGGTCTCAATTTAAATTCATATCCATTCAACTGGACTTTATATACTCCCGCAATTTAAGACTATTTATTCACCTATTCCCTTCTTCAAACCTCCTTATACTGCATACCCCACCCTCACCTTCAGTTGATGTCATTGCTCCAGTAACACACGGCAGAGATACGAGTCTGCGCGGGGGACGTCGAGGTTGTGAAGAGTCAGCACATGTAGATGGTTGCAGCAAAACGTTCTCTCTCCCCTCTTATCCTTTCCAGCCTCCCTTTTATACCCTTAATCCCAGGATGTTGGCCTGGGGGCAGGAGGAAATCTCCCCTCACATGTGCTACTGCGATCAGGGTGGATATTTATCAGTTGCCCAAAGGTTAAGCCTCTCACACAGGTGGCAAGATGTCTTCTTCCTATTATGATCTTGGGCTTAAGCTCCGGGGGTGGTTGGGGAGGCTCATCCCAGTTGGGACCCAACACACATGTTCCCACTATTACATCTACCCACCATTTTCCATCCATTCCTGTGGATGAACCATGTGTCTAAGACAAAGACCAACAAACCAAACAAAAACAAAACCAACAAAAAACTACATTTGTGCCCTAGATCTCAGCCCCTCCCTTTCTTAAAAATACTCCTGGCGATTCTACCCTCTTCTGCTTTATGATTTTTTTCTCTTTTGTTCATTTTTCCTTCCCATCTGCATACATGCACAATAATCTCCCCAACCTTTTAAAGTATCTCCTTTATACAAACTACAATTCCTGCCATTTCACAAAGAAATTAAAAGGATTTGACTAAATTTGACAGCTCCGATTCCTGCCACTCTCCTTGAAAGCCACTGCAATCAAACTTTTGTACCTACCTGTACACCAAAATTGTTTTGTTTAGGATGATTGTGAACATAACCCTTTTAAATCAATGATTACTTCTTATACTTCAGTTTATTTGACTAGTCAGGAATATTTGTTCAGTTTTGTTTCTTCTTTTCTGCAAGATATAATTTTCTTTAATTTAAATGTTATATATTTTTAAATTTTCCCTATCTGACAATTCTTCAATCTCACTTTCTGTTTTCCTTTTGTTATTGATGTCTAAATCTTGAAGTTGCTCATGAATTAGTATACAGACTTCTCTATATTTATCCCTTAAGTGACTTAACCCAATAACAGGGCTTTAAAGAACAAATTTACATGTCTAGCTTATTCACTTCCCTAAACATCTAACACTTATATTCAAGTCTATACTGGACTCAAATTTTTAAAGTCAGCTTAAATGTAACACATATAAAATTAGCTCTCGATATACCATGCACCCAAAACCTGCTTCTCCTACCATTTCCCTATCAGCGCTGATGGCACTATCACTCCAAACACTTCAGCCAAAGTCTTGGAGTCAGCCTTAGCTCCTCACTTTTTCTCACCTCACATTCAGTCTTTCAGCAGATCTTGTCATCTCTGCTTGTAGTCACTGATCAGTCTTGACACCAAGTTCTCATCTATCTCTGGGCAGGGGCAACACCCTCCTGACTGTGTCTCGGTGAGTTTCTATTTTTCTTCAATAAAACAGCCAGATTTCATTTAGATTATGTCACTCTTCTCCTCAAACCCCTTCCATTTCCACAAAATTAAAAGTTCCTGCAATGACCTCTGAGGACTCATCCAATCCCCAACAGCTTATACCTACAAAAATACAATTAATTTTCTCACTTGTGTCGCCAACAATTCAGCAACTCACTTTTCTTTGTATTGCCTCCTGCTGGTTTCCAGAAACACCTGAAATCCTTGCACACTTCTCCATTAACACTTCTCCATACTAATTGTTACTACTCCAAGAAAATTTTTCCTGCATTTAACTGTCTCAGTGTCTCTTTCCCTTCTTTCAATATAGGAGAGATTTATTTAAAATAGATACATATATATTCCATACATGTATCCACATATGTGCCCAGGATCTCACAAGTGAGAACACAAATGCATTCAGAGGGGAGTGTAGCAGCTGGCATACCTTCCCAGCTCTCTGTGTTCAAGGCCATTATATTGGTAATTGGAAACTTGATCGTGGCAGTCCTGGACACTGTGAAAACTGGCAAATGCTAAAACAAAAAGTTTTGTTTATTTCTGGAAGTTAACACTTTTTCTCATTGACCTGAACTCTAACCTTCTGCATTTTATTTTTTTACGTGGTACTTTTTAATATTTGGTATTTTCTCTTGCATATAGAATAACATTATATCTAATTTACAGTAGTAATTTAATTTTTAAGAGGGAAATTACAGTAATGTAATTTTTTAAGAGGGAAAGTGAAATATATATATACCCCTATTGCTTCTTTAACAACTTACCACAACTTAAAACAATGGAATTTTATCATCTCACAGTTCTGGGGAGTCAGAAGTCCTAAAATCAAAGTATTGTCAGTGCTGCTATTTACTGAAGATTCTTTGGGAGAATCTGTTTTCTTTGCCTTTTAAAGTTTCTAGAAGCCAGTTCAGTCCTTTCACTGAGGCTTCCTTCTTCTATCTTCAAAATACATGAATCTACCTTCTTTTTCAGTCAGCGTATCTCCATTTTTTTTTCTTCTGTAATTCTCCTGACTTCTAAGAACTCTTGATATTACCTGGGGACTATGCAAATAATCCAAGATCCTTCCAACTCTAGATACTAAATTATGTCTGCAAAGTGCCTTTTGTCATGTAAAATAACATTTTCAGATTCTGAATATTAGGATAGAGATTTATGGGGGGATTGGCAATATTTTGATATAGCCAGCTCTCTCCTGAATTTGATGCTAGAGCAGAGCTGGTCAATAGAACTGTCTTCAATGACACAGATTTGATATCTGCTCTATCCAACAGAGTAGCAACTTGTGGCTAACATTCAAAATATAGCTTCTGTGACTAATATTATTACTTTTATTTAATTATAATTATTTGCTTTTAATAGTCACATGTCACTAGTGATTATCATTTTGAATAGTGTGGTTAGAGCAGACTAACAGATAATTCTTACAAGTAATTCTGGTGGTTTTAGGCTCAGTGGAAACCAGGTATCAGGATTCAAATAAGATGTTTTCTTTTTTTTTAATATATTACCTTACATTATAATTACTTTTTCAAAGCTTGACATATTTTAAAAGAGTAATAATCTCATAATGAACTATGTCCCTACACATTATCATACTAGATCTTAGCAAGTCTATGATATTTACAGATAATTGTAGATCTAATTATTTTTCTTTGACACAATAAGGAATGGCAGAGAGTTTGGATGATCCAGATAAAAGAGTTTAAGTGAGAAAAATAAGGCATTAGCCCTGGTATTTTAATTCCCCAATATGCTATACTGGCTTTAAGTATAAAAAAGTATCTAATATTGTTTACTTGCTTTCCTTTACACTTTCACTTTCATTTACTAGAGTCACAAATTAAAACATTAGAAAACAATCAAAACCTAAATTTTCAAAATGTCCTTTTTTAATGTATTTCTTTCAATATTTAAGTTTTATTGATTGAAAGGGTAAAAGAAAAGAAAAGAAAAGAAAAGAAAAGAAAAGAAAAGAAAAGAAAAGAAAAGAAAAGAAAAGAAAAGAAAAGAAAAGAAAAGAAAAAACCCTAC